CCCCGCCACCAAAACAGGAGGCAGCGGCCTCTTCCCCCGGCACACGCTACACACGCCGGTACACGCCACACGCTACACAGGCCGCGCCACGTGTCTCCCTCCTCCAGCAGCTGGCGCCACGACTTCTCCAGCTGGGGGCGTGTCATACAGATTCCCCAAAAAATGGGTCAGAGGTTCGGTGAGAGTCGCATCGCCCACATCACCTGCCTGTCTGTCTGCTATGCCTGGCTGCCCTACCTGTCTGTCTGCCCTGTCTGTCCGTCTGTCCTGTCTGTCTGTCTGCCTGCCTGTCTGTCTGTCCTATCTGCCTGCCTGTCTGTCTGTCCTATCTGCCTGCCTGTCTGTCTGTCTGTCTGTCTGCTCTGCCTGTCCCGTCTGTCTTTCTGTCTGTCTGCCTGCCAGTCTGTCTGTCTGTCTGTCCTGTCTGTCTCTCTGCCTGTCTGTCTGTCTGTCTGTCTGCTCTGCCTGTCCCGTCTGTCTGCCTGTCTGTACTGTCTGTCTGTCTGCTCTGCCTGTCCCGTCTGTCTTTCTGTCTGTCTGCCTGCCAGTCTGTCTGTCTGTCTGTCCTGTCTGTCTCTCTGCCTGTCTGTCTGTCTGTCTGTCTGCTCTGCTCTGCTCTGCCTGTCCTGTCTGTCTGCCTGTCTGTCTGCCTGTCAGCCTGCCTGCCTGTCTCTCTGTCTGCCTGTCTGTCTGCCAGTCTGTCTGTCTGTCTGCCTGTCAGCCTGCCTGCCTGTCTCTCTGTCTGCCTGTCTGTCTGCCAGTCTGTCTGTCTGTCTGCCTGTCAGCCTGCCTGCCTGTCTCTCTGTCTGCCTGTCTGTCTGCCAGTCTGTCTGTCTGTCTGCCTGTCAGCCTGCCTGCCTGTCTCTCTGTCTGCCTGTCTGTCTGCCAGTCTGTCTGTCTGTCTGCCTGTCAGCCTGCCTGCCTGTCTCTCTGTCTGCCTGTCTGTCTGCCAGTCTGTCTGTCTGTCTGCCTGTCAGCCTGCCTGCCTGTCTCTCTGTCTGCCTGTCTGTCTGCCAGTCTGTCTGTCTGTCTGCCTGTCAGCCTGCCTGCCTGTCTCTCTGTCTGCCTGTCTGTCTGCCAGTCTGTCCTGTCTGTCTGCCGCGCCAAGGCACCTCTTATAGTGCGGTCCTACAGACAGGCAGACAGAGAGACAGGCAGGCAGGCTGACAGGCAGACAGACAGGCGGACAGACAGACAGGCAGACAGACAGACAGACAGGACAGACAGACTGGCAGGCAGACAGACAGGCAGGCAGGCAGACAGGACAGACAGACAGGCAGACAGACAGGCTTTTAAGTCTGTCCTGTCTGCCAGTCTGTCTGTCCTGTCTGCCTGTCTGTCCTGTCTGCCTGTCTGTCCTGTCTGCCTGTCTGTCCTGTCTGCCTGTCTGTCCTGTCTGCCTGTCTGTCCTGTCTGCCTGTCTGTCCTGTCTGCCTGTCTGTCCTGTCTGCCTGTCTGTCCTGTCTGCCTGTCTGTCTGTGTCTGTCTGCCTGTCTGTCTGTCTGCCTGTCTGTCTGCCTGTCTGTCTGTCTGCCTGTCTGTCTGCCTGTCTGTCTCCCTGTCTGTCTGCCTATCCTGCCTGCCTGTCTGTCTGTCCTGTCTCCTTATTCTATCTATCTGTTCTGTTTACCCGTCTGTCTCTCTTTATATACTAATAAGTGTGTCTGTTTGCGGAATGTTACATATATAAGGCGGGATTCAAACCTAAGCGACAGCAATTTTATGCGTAAAAACGCATGCATTTTTTCTGCACGTTTTCGTGCCTTTTTGAGTGTTTTTTAACGCACGTGCATGCGTGTAAATTTTACACATGCGGGTTTTTTTTTCAAGCAGATTGTGACACATTAAAGTAAATGGACAAAAAAAAGTGTAAAAACGCGCAAATCTAATGGCGGAGCGCGTTTTCAAGCTTTTCCTATTAAGTCTGAGGGGCCAAAACGAGTTGAAGTCTGCACCAAAGAAGCTCATGTACTTTTTCCAGCGACAGGCGTTTTGCTTGTAGCGGCCGAAGTGCTCAGGTGTGCACAGGGCCTGTCACATGGAATGGTTTTGGAAGGTATAGAGAAGGTTGTACTGGGATAGTACAATCAGATTGTAATGTGTGTGAGCACACACAGTTCAGTGACTTACTCTGAGGTTCCATGGCTTTGAGGAGCGGGGACACCCCGATTGCAGCCAAGTCACTGGCCGCTTTCGCCCCTCGTTCTGACACCTCGCAGAAATATCCGACCGCCGGGTGTACGTTCTTCACATCGCGGTATGCAAACGAAGCGATCTGATACGCCGACTGAACAAGAGTGAAGCCTGGATGGTGGAAAAAGAGAGAGAGGGAGGGAGAGAGAGAGGGGAGGGGGGAGAGAATAGATCAGGAGAGAGGGAGAGAGAGGAATGGATGGAAAGAGAGAGAGAGAGAATAGATCAGAGAGAGAGAGAGAGGGGGGAGAGAGAGAGAATAGATCAGAGGAGAGAGAGAGGGATGGATAGAGACAGGGAGGGAGAGAGATCAGAGAGAGAGAGAGGGGAGGGATGGATGGATGGATAGAGAGAGAGAGTGAGGGATATATAGAGAGAGAGGAGGGAGAGAGAGAGCGAGAATAGATCAGGAGAGAGAGAAGGATGGATAGAGAGAGAGAGGGATGGAGAGAGAGAGAAACAAAATAGATCAGGAGAGAGAGAGAGGGATGGATGGATATAGAGAGAAAGGTGGAGGGGGGAGAGGGAGAGAGAGAGGGATGGATAGAGAGAGAGGGAGGGAGAGAGATCAGAGAGAGAGGGGGAGAGAGAGAGAGAATACATCAGAGGAGAGAGAGAGGGATGGATGGAGAGAGAGAGAGAAAAAAAATAGATCAGGAGAGAGAGGGATGGATGGATAGAGAGGGGTGGAGGGCGGGAGAGGGAGAGAGAGAGAGAGAAAGGTATAATAGATAGATTGCATACATTATTTACATTCTGATTTTCATCCACATGACCTCCCTCTGCCATGGTCTGTCTGTAAATGTCTTACTCTGTACAAATAAATGAACAAAATATAAGTTAGCCTACCAGCAAAGGTCAGTGATGGAATAATCTGCAGAATATATCAATATGTATCTGTCAGGAGGGAGATGGGACGGAGCAATGCTCTGCAGATCTCTAGAGAGGTCAGTGATGGAATAATCTGCAGAATATATCAATATGTATCTGTCAGGAGGGAGATGGGACGGAGCAATGCTCTGCAGATCTCTAGAGAGGTCAGTGATGGAATAATCTGCAGAATATATCAATATGTATCTGTCAGGAGGGAGATGGGACGGAGCAATGCTCTGCAGATCTCTAGAGAGGTCAGTGATGGAATAATCTGCAGAATATATCAATATGTATCTGTCAGGAGGGAGATGGGACGGAGCAATGCTCTGCAGATCTCTAGAGAGGTCAGTGATGGAATAATCTGCAGAATATATCAATATGTATCTGTCAGGAGGGAGATGGGACGGAGCAATGCTCTGCAGATCTCTAGAGAGGTCAGTGATGGAATAATCTGCAGAATATATCAATATGTATCTGTCAGGAGGGAGATGGGACGGAGCAATGCTCTGCAGATCTCTAGAGAGGTCAGTGATGGAATAATCTGCAGAATATATCAATATGTATCTGTCAGGAGGGAGATGGGACGGAGCAATGCTCTGCAGATCTCTAGAGAGGTCAGTGATGGAATAATCTGCAGAATATATCAATATGTATCTGTCAGGAGGGAGATGGGACGGAGCAATGCTCTGCAGATCTCTAGAGAGGTCAGTGATGGAATAATCTGCAGAATATATCAATATGTATCTGTCAGGAGGGAGATGGGACGGAGCAATGCTCTGCAGATCTCTAGAGAGGTCAGTGATGGAATAGTCTGCAGCAGACAACGGTGTCTCCTACCTGGCGGTATCAGACGGCGTCTTCCTCGGCGTTCGGTGAGATAATTGACAGACTTTACAGTCCGAACACTTACATAGTCCTAATGCGGGGGTTTCCAGGCTGCACCACGCAGACTCTGTTTGTAGTCCCGAATTAAAGTTTTTGATTTCTTTTGAAGTTTGTAAAAGCGACAAAATCTATAAACCAGATAATAATAATAATAATATTTGAGCATCCACATAGGCAGGGTGTCCTCCTGTGACCCTACAGCGCAGAACCATCAGCATATAGCGGGCAATAGCCCGATACCCACATAGGCGGGTTCCGCATAGGCGGGTTGTCCTCCTGTGACCCTACAGCGCAGAACCATCAGCATATAGCGGGCAATAGCCCGATACCCACATAGGCGGGTTCCGCATAGGCGGGTTGTCCTCCTGTGACCCTACAGCGCAGAACCATCAGCATATAGCAGGCAATAGCCCGAGATCCACATAGGCAGGGTGTCCTCGTGTGACCCTACAGCGCAGAGCCATCAGCATATAGTGGGCAATAGCCCGAGATCCACCCTGCCGCCTGATTGACAGCTGGATCTACCTTTCTCAGTCAGTGGTGGAGGATCAGAGAAGGGAGGACGGGAATCCCTGCAGGGAGCAGTGACTGACAGTCACCGCTCTCTGCAGGGAGAAGATCGGGCACTGAACGATCAGTGGTATGTGATCACTCGATCTTTAGAGCTGACGCATGACAGCCGCAGTATCAGACGTCGGCTCTAATTATGGGGTTAAAGGAGAACTATGAGGTGAGTGCTTTTCACTCACCTCATAGTTCTAGCCGACCTGTGACCATGAGACTGTCACAGGTCGGTTCAGTAGATCGGGAGGTGAGCGAACACATACCGGCGTTCGCTCACCTCTCGATCCTGTCACAGCTCTCTGCCGTGACAGGGGAGGGGCTGGATTCCCCCCTCCCTGCTCCGCCAGCGCTGACTGGAGGAACGGACGGTGGAGGGGGCGGGTACAGCTGGCTCTGCCTCTAGATAGGCAGAGCCAGCTGTCACTCACGCAGCTGGGCGGATCTCGACATCGATGTCGGGATCCACTCCGGCTGCGGCGTCTCAGTATACCGCGAGCTGTAGCTCGCGGTATACTAAGCTTAGGGTGACGGGAGGACGCTAGTTTGTGTCCTCCCGTTACCCTAAGGAGAACTATGGGGAAAAGCCCTGACCCCATAGTTCTCCTTTAAGTGTATTTAACTCTCCCCATAATTCTCCTTTAACTCTTGTAGTAAAACTCCTGCCTGTTCTCTTTGTCTCTAGTACATTTTGGCCTATTATTCCTGATTAAAACTGTCCCTTTTCTTGTCAATTTTACACTGCTGTCTCCTCTGCAGTACTTTAGTGCTTGTACTAAAGCTCCAGGTGTGCTTTTTGTCTCTAGGCAAAATTTGGGCCTAGAATTGCTATTAAAAAATCACTGCTGTGCCATCTGCAGTCTCCTAGACCTCTTTGTTTCTTGTAAATTTGGGCCTAGCCTTAAAATTTAAAATGTTCCTGCTGCTGGACAATTTCCACTTCTGTATCAGCTTAAATCTCTAGTTTCTTGTGTGAAGGAATCTGCCTCTCCTCCTTTTTTATTCAGTACATTTTGGTTAATTCTCCCTGATTAAACGCATCCTGCTGGGGGCCAGTTTTACACTGCTGTATCCTCTGCAGTAGCTTAGTTCTTGTAGTAAAGCCCCAGCCTGTGCTCCTTGTCTCTCATTAATTGTGGCCTAGCCTTGCTATTCCAAAAACAAAAATACACTGCTCTGTCATCTGCAGTCTCCTAATTCTTGTAGTAAAAGTAGGGATGCACCAATACCAGCTTTTCGGTATCAAGTATGAGTACCAATATTTTGCTTTCGGTACTCGTCGATACCGAGTACCGATACCGGTGCTTCCGCTGGCATGGAACCGGGAAAACCGGCTTCCCAGCCAATCAGCATCAAGCCGACTTCCCGGCCAATCAGGAAGCCGGGCGGCGAGCCGGGCCGGATTTGCTCTCTCTGCTGCCCCAAGGCCGGGTTCCTCAATGCGCCCCCCTACCCGCCAAAAAGGCCCCCCCATGGAGAATGGCAGACCTGCAGGCTGCAGACAAAACAAGCGGCGGTGGCCCCGCTGTACATTTAGCTCTGCTTGCCCAGAGCAGGGCTAAAAGTAGAAAACAACTGCCCGCCCGGAGCCCCGAACTGCATGTCCTGGGTATCGGGAGATAGGAATTCCACAGCCCTGCTGCCCCTCTACTCCCTGCTGCCCGAGGCTGGGCCTTGGTTGGCCTTGTGGGAAATCCGGCCCTGGCGGTGAGTAATGACCCGCCTCCCAGCTTCCTAATTGGGCGGGAAGCTGGCTTGATGCTGATTGGCTGGAAAGCCGACTTCCCGGCCAATCAGCAGCGAGCCGGCTGTTCAACCAGCTCACTGCTGATTTTCCAGGAATCCGGCTTCTCGGCCAATCAGCAAGAAGCCAGCTGTTTGGCTGGCTCGATGCTGATTGGCCAGGAAGCCGGCTACCTGGCCAATCAGGAAGCCGGGAGGCGGGTCATTACTCACTGCCCAGCTTCCTGGTCATGCGGGAAGCTGGCTCCATGTTCCCCTACGGCACTGCCGTGTAGATCCAGTATCGGAGATCCAGAATCGGAGCATTTGGGCGAGTACGGGGAGCATGGAGCCAGGTTCTCGGCAAATCAGGAAACCGGGCAGTGTGTAATGACTCTCTGCCCGGCATCCTGATACCGAAAGCTCCGTTATCAGGCTAGGCATCGGGAACATTTGGGCGAGTTTACTCGCCCAAATACTCGGTATCGGCACCGATACGTATACTAGTATCGGTGCATCCCTAAGTAAAACTCCTAATTCTACTCTATTGTCATCCTGCTGCCTGCTCCAATTTGTCATCGTGCTGCTGGCCGACTTTACACTGCTGTACCCTCTGCGCTCTCTTATATCCTAATATGAGCTTGGTAGAAATTGGCCAGCGGCAGGACAGCTTTGCATCAGCGATAACAAGGACAGCCACAGCTTTGAGTATTCCAGCTGTAAGCTCTGCCTGTGAACCAGGACGGGTGAATGCGCCGGGATGTGCCAACTTGAAAAAAACATCAGCGAGATTTTGTTTTTTTAGTCTCTTCCATGATTGTCTTAGTCATTAATGACGCAGTCACATGTTTGCTCCAGCAAGAAGTGTAACCAATCAGCGAGAAATGATGAACTCTCCCACAGAAAGGCCTCCTTGTGTTTTGTTTTGCTAATATTTACTGACAACCAATCCGCCGGGCGAGACTAATACATCAGAGCAGAGAACATCCACGTAACACAACCTTCGTCCATCCCGATATTCTGTGATGGTATTAAAGGGTCACTCCACCCAAAGCTGATGAATTAGTGTTTACTGAATGCTGAAGAGTTACATCCCTGACAGTCTCTTCTATTATTCTGGGACTCTGTAGGTGAATTCTCTGAATTCCTGGGTCTGTACACCTGCTGTGCCCATTATGAGGAGCTCCCACCATCCCTGTGCTGAGTTCCCGGGTCTGTACACCTGCTGTGCCCATTATGAGGGGCTCCCACCATCCCTGTGCTGAGTTCCCGGGTCTGTACACCCGCTGTGCCCATTATGAGGAGCTCCCACCATCCCTGTGCTGAGTTCCTGGGTCTGTAGTAGGGTTGCCACCTTTTCTTCGAGAGAAACCCGAACACGATAGCGACATGCAGACTTTTTTTTGGGAGAATGGGTCATGGCTTATTCATATGTAAATAGCTCCACCCATTAATATGTAAATATCACAGTTGAGACTATTTTCAGTGGGGGGCCTGTAGCCCCTACCTTAATCTTGGTTGCCCCTGTCTGCCTGACATCATGTGTCCGGGTTTCTGCTGCCATGAAACCCGAACACAGCATTCAAAACCCGGACTGTCCAGGTAAATCCCGGACAGGTGGCAACCATAGTCTGTAGCTCAGGGATGGTGGGAACCCCTCATAATAAAAAAAAAATTGTTTTTTTTATTTTTATGTAAATCCCTATAACGCCAGCTGGGTCACATGACAGCAAGCTTCCAATCAGACTGCAGAGTTCATGCCTCTCCTCTGGACAGCCATGGATTGGAATGTACATTAACAAGAAAAGTCTGATCAGGTTACAATAAGTAATCTATTGAACAGCGAGGAGTCTGTCCCTTTAAAAGCTGAGGCCCCTCCCACCCTGGCTGTGGTCAGCTGACTTGAAGTCACATGCCAAAGGAGGAAGTGGCTGTGCTTGGAGTCATGAGGATGGAGGTGCAGCTGCTGCTGTGGGCCCTGTGTGTTGGGCTGGGGGCCACAGGGGCCCCCGAGGAGGAGACCAGGAAGGTGAGAGCTGTGTGGGGGAGTCTGGGGAACTACAACTCCCTGCATACCCTGTGAGCGAGGGACATGATGGGGCTCTGCTGTGGACAATTAGGCATTGTTGTTGATTGAGGGGCTTCTTTACACAACCCTGGGGGACTACAACTCACAGCGTGCCCTATGATCAGGATTTGCCGGGTCATGCTGGGGCTTATAGTACCACTTTGGGTAGTGGGCTATGGCTTATCATGCTGTGATTTATACTGAGGGGGAGGGGGTTCTTACTATACACAACCCTGGGGGACTACAACCTCCAGCATGTCCAGTGATGCAGCTGGCATAGAAAGTCACGTTGTATATTTTATTTCAGGTTGTAACATTGTATATTCCGTGTTATCTCACAGACACAGACTTCCTTGTGTGCTTTGTGGCCAGGCTGGGTGGAGACATCTTGTTTTCCTCCTCTCAGACCGGAGTACAATCTCTGACACCCCTCCCCCGCTGGCCATGTCTGTCCTCGGGAATCCCCAGCAATAATCAGCTAATGGCAGACGGCTTCAGCCACTGCAGACAGGATAGGAGTCTGATATCAGATCAATAACCAGCAAGATGTGTTGTGTAGCACTGTACCCACCATCCCTACCCTGAGTTCCCGAGTCTATACACCCGCTGTGCCCATTATGAGGGGCTCCCACCATTCCTGTGCCCATTATGAGGGGCTCCCACCATTCCTGTGCTGAGTTCCCGGGTCTGTACACCTGCTGTGCCCATTATGAGGAGCTCCCACCATCCCTGTGCTGAGTTCCGGGGTCTGTACACCTGCTGTGCCCATTATGAGGAGCTCCCACCATCCCTGTGCTGAGTTCCCGGGTCTGTACCCCTGCTGTGCCCATTGAGGAGCTCCCACCATCCCTGTGCTGAGTTCCCGGGTCTGTACCCCTGCTGTGCCCATTGAGGAGCTCCCACCATCCCTGTGCTGAGTTCCTGTTTCTGTACACCTGCTGTGCCCATTGTGAGGAGTCAGATGAGCTCTGATTGGTCGCTGTTGTCACTGAAGTGTTAATATCTCTTCCCTCCTCAGGTCACTCTGGAGCTAAACCCCGGCTCCTCCAACTCCACCCAGAACCTCCTCCATATCCGGGCGGTGGGAAATGGCAGCACCATCCATTATGTGTGGAGCACAATTGGGGCCCCCACCATCCTCCTCATCTACACTGACAGTGAGAACACCCGGCTGCAGGTCAACTGGACCAAACTGTTCTCTCCGGAGCCCCACGGAGCCATCCGCGTGGAACCCGCCAACCACGTGCTCTACTCCACCGCGCTGCTCTTCACCCGGGTAAGTCAGATCACTGACTCCCTCTGTACAATGTTTATATACAATGTTACTTTGTATCTCTCTATCTCCCCTCTGTACAATGTTTATATACAATGTTACATTGTATCTCTCTATCTCCCTCTGATCAATGTTTATAAACAATGTTACTTTGTATCTCTCTATCTCCCCTCTGTACAATGTTGAATACAGTGCAGAAGAATGTGGAAGATATGATGGAGTTGTGTGGGACATACCGGGGGATGGTAGTTGGGAAGGGGTGGAACTGCCGGTGTTCTATCAAAACTTCCAACTTGTCAAGATCTCCAACAACCTGACTTCCGGTTTAGTTAGAAGTATGAGGTTTGGCTGAGAATGGTGTCAAAGCGGCGGCCATCTTGGGTGGGGCAACTCAGATGAATAACGTGCTGGATAAGTCTGACCCTAGTTTATTTTAATACTTTTATTGCTGTGTAGTATTTGTATAGGAAAATGCCGCGGGTGGCGCACGTGCAGTACAGTCTCCTCGGCCACACCTCTTCTAACTAAACCGGAAGTCCGGTCATTGGAGATCTCGACGAGTTGGAGTGTTCGACAGAACACCGGGTTACAGTTATTGCAGTATTGTTGTTGTGTTTTATTGTTGTTGGTGTGTTTATATAAGTATTGTTTGTCATTTATAAATTGTAAAAATATTAAACTAAGAGGATTTTAGGAAAAAACTAAAATAAATGACAATTGTTTTGATATATAGAACATATTAAATGTTGTCCAGCGCAGGTTTAAATCTACTGTAATATCTGCTTTTTTCCCCCTTTTCTTTCTTCAGATTTTTGAATACAGAGATGAGAACAACACGGCCAGTTTCCCCGATCTAGACAGGAAATCCTTCTACCCTCCTTATGAGCTGTCTAAGTTCACCTGGGAGAGCGCCCGAGACTCCATGAACTCCTCTTCACTGACCGCGCGTCTCTCCGGAGTCGATTCCACTAACGCCACCACGAGCTTCCAGAATGGGAGTGTCAGCTTCCAGGTGAGCAGAATCAGCCCTGTGGGGCACAAAGCAGACCCCAGGGGGATTGTTGACGGTGCTGTTTGGCATTGCTCATTTAAAGGGCCTCTGGAATACAGAGGCAGCCATTGGCAACCTTCTGAACATGGTCGTTTCCGGCTGTCTCCTGCTCAATATTGTGAGTCACCAATGTGGTGCAAACATGGAGCTGGTCACAAGTGAGTGCATCCTAAATCTAAACCCAACAACATAACATGTCATAGATTGAAGCTTACCAGTGCTTAGATATAATGGCTGCATTCCTTTTTTTGCACCGAGTATGTTTTCTGCAAGTACAGAAAAAAATACCTATTGATCCTACGACAAAAATCCAGTGTCCTTGTTACTACGCGTGCCCTGAAATGAAATATCAATGTTGTCATTCTATCCAACGGTCTTCTGTAAACAAAAGAACGCCTCCCTCCAATGTTATGAAGATGAAGAGAGCAAGAGGTGTTTTTTATCCGGTCCTATTGTGACCACGCTGCTCCTCCTATAGATTCAGTTCAGTGAGTTAGTGTTGTCACCCTAGGGCAGGAAGTGTGTTACTGGCAGGATCACCAGGTGAAAATCGAGAGGAAAAAGGTTAAAAATTAAAACTAATGCAGCCATCTCGTTAAATGACTGGTAAGCAGCAATATATAAAATGTTTGTTATTGGGGTTTAGAAACACTTTAAAAGGAGGAAGCCAGCAAATTCAATGATAGCTGAAGTTTTTTTGGACCTCCTCCCGCCAGGAAATGTGGCGGGCTCTATCTGACTTGCTGCAGCTTCCAATGCACATGGTGAGACGCTCGCAGTGTGCAGTGACATCAGAGGAAGACATTTCAGTCCAGGAGAGGAGCTGGTATAACTGCAAGACTGAAGCGGAGGTCAGGTGCAAGACCTGAAGGGGAGGCCAGAGGTCAGGTGCAAGACTGAAGGGGAGGCCGGAGGTCAGGTGTAAGACTGAAGGGGAGGTCAGGGGCAAGACTGAAGGGAAGGGCGGAGGTCAGGTGCAAGACTGAAGGGAAGGGCGGAGGTCAGGTGCAAGACTGAAGGGAAGGGCGGAGGTCAGTGGGGAAGGGGGAGGGCAGGTGCAAGACTGAAGGGGAGGGCGGAGGTCAGGTGCAAGACTGAAGGGAAGGGCGGAGGTCAGGTGCAAGACTGAAGGGAAGGGCGGAGGTCAGGTGCAAGACGGAAGGGCGGAGGTCAGATTTGAACTTCTAATGGTTTGGGTGATGGGGCAAAACTGATCAATCGTTTGCAGAGTAGAAGTGTGGATTGTTGGCCTCCTATGTCTTGTGGAACCGATCACTTGTCAATAGAATACAATTTATTTCTCACAGGTCTCGGCATACGAAGGCTCGGGGCGCGACACCACCTCTCCCCGGCTGCTTCACACTGCAAACTGCACCAAAATGGAATTCATGCTGTCTGGGGTCCGACCGCGGGGCAATAACTCCCGCTTTGCCCTGGAGATGGTGACCCTGGAGAAGAAGGCGGGGCATAAGAAGATGCAGTCCGTTCGCTCTATTGATGACGAGTACACCCCGACCATCTTTGAGGTACGCTGGAGTATATAACGTATGAAAGTGATTTGTTACCAAGCTGAGCTTTGTGCCATTGTACTATGAAGTTATGTTTCTGTGCTGTAGTCAAGGACCAATCTATCCAGTCCTGGTGTTTTGGTCTTGAGTGGATGTGGACGGATGTGGTGGTGGTGGTAGTGGTGGGGAGGGGGGTATAATTGTTCCAGGCTTCTTTTATCTCTTGATGGCCGGTTCTGATATTTCTGGTGTCTCTTTTGCAAACATTTACTAATACATACCTGTGTCCATCCAGGCATCCCCTTCTTTTGTTTTTTGTGGATTTGTTTGTCTTTTGTAGAGTCAGAAACTTCAAAAGTCAATCGTGCACTAAAATAACAAAGTGTAGTGTCACAGCCAGGGGTCTGTATCCACAGGGGGAAGCAGTCCAGTAGATATAGGATCATACCTGTGGCAACATGGAGACACAGGTTTCATTGGGGGCAATGCAAGTACCGGAGCTGGGTCAGTGGCATACACAGGAGTGCAGGGATTGCTTGGTTCACTCGAGACACAGGAGCACAACGATCACTGGGGTCACTGAAGATACAATACTGCATGTTTCACTGGGATCACTGGAGACGCAGGAGTGCGGGGATTGCTGGGGTCACTGGAGACGCAGGAGTGCGGGGATTGCTGGGGTCACTGGAGACGCAGGAGTACGGGGATTGCTGGGGTCACTGGAGACGTGGGATTGCTGGGGTCACTGGAGACCCATGAGTGCGGGGGTTGCTGGGGTCACTGGAGACGTGGGGTTGCTGGGGTCACTGGAGACGTGGGATTGCTGGGCTCACTGGAGACGCGGGTATTGCTGGGGTCACTGGAGACGCATGAGTGCGGGTATTGCTGGGGTCACTGGAGACGCATGAGTGCGGGTATTGCTGGGGGTCACGAGCACAGGGATCGCTGGGGTTTCTGGAGACACTGGAGTCTTGCTGGGATGCTGGGAGGGACCGTGGGGCTCAGAGTGAATGGAGGAATTGGCAACACATGGTGTAGTTAAGTCTTGAAAGGCGGTGGAGATCAGCAACACTGAGATGTAAAAAAGGAAGAAAATAGCTATAAAAAAAAAATAGGATTTAAGAAAGTGAATTTTTTTGGTACACTGTGCGCTTTATTTAGGGTGTGTTTTGTTAGCAGTTGATCACGTGATGTTGGTCACTATTGGTGCTTGTGGAGTCTACACCATAAGGAACCACATGTTCCGACTGAACACCCCTCGTAGCTCATCCTGCCGTGTGACTAAACTACTAGTAATCGTCTCTGTGCGCCTAGACTTGGCGACCATTTCTTCACAACTTCTTATTTCTCCCGCCAGGTGATGGAGTTGGTGCCGGACTTCCCCAACGCCAGCCATGCCCACGGTTACTTCCAGTGGAAGTCAGTGGCATACGGCTCCGTGGAGGGCGGTAGAGCCAACGCCCTGCCCTGCAAGATGTACAAGCCGCACGGTCTGAACGAGACTCTCCGGATCCCCAGCATCGTCCACGCTTTCTACGGGGAAGGTCTGGCTGAGAGGTACAACATCGAAGCTTATAACGTCTCCTTCGGGATCGCAGACGGCGACTTCTACGACAAAAACAGCTTCTTGGGCTGGTAAGATTTAAGACGACCTCTGTTACCCTTCCCGTCAGGCGCGTTGGTGCTGCTCCGTAAGGCAGTTTCACTTCCCTGTGTGCATCCTGCTCAGCTTGGTTTTAGAAGGGACAATCTGTACAGTGGCGACTGTGACCTGCTCACAGAAAATCGTTTTTCAAGGCAGTTGGATCCTTTCCTGTGTCCGGATGTTCCCGCAGTAGAAATAAATCACTTTTTATATTCAATTAACTCCACATTGGACTTTGCCATCAATGATGGCTGCATGGAATTTCCCAGGGTGGGTTTCCTGACCAGGGCCATCATTAGAAATCATGCCCCCTCCAGTGCCTCCTATAGGAGATCAGGCTCAGCACACACAGTACTTTACTCGGCACATGCGAGTTGTGGAAAGGTCACATAAAACATGGGCCATCCTTGGGGTACACATGCTACGGGAAGGTCGCATAACGTATGTGCGACCCTTGGCCCACAAGAGCTCCAGGAAAGTCACATAATGTTTGGCAGACCCTTGGCACACGTGATCGGTGGGAAGGTCACATAATACATGGGTGACCCTTGGCCCACAAGAATTCCAGGGAGGTCACATAATGCATAGGTGACCTTCGCAACGTGAGAGCTCGGGGGAGGTCACATAATACATGGTTGACCCTCGTAACACAAGAGCTCCAGTGAGGTCGTGTAATGAGTGGGCAGCCCTTGCCACGCCAGAACTCCGAGGAGGTCACATTATACATGGGGGACCCTTGTAACACGAGAGCTCCAGGGAGGTCACGTTGTATATGGGCAACCCCAATCATGCCAGAGCTCCGGGAAGCTCACATTTTACATGGGTGAGCCTGGTAACACGAGAGCTCCAGGGAGGTCACATTATACATGGGCAGCCCTTGTCACGCCAGAGCTCCGGGGAGGTCACATTATACATGGGCAGCCCTTGTCACGCCAGTGTTCTGGGGAGGTCACATTATACATGGGTGACCTCCGTAACGTGAGAGCTCCAGGGAGGTCACGTAATACATGGGCAACCCTTGTCATGCCAGAGCTCATCATGCATGCCCCGCCCAACTCCCACCCAGCCGGATCTCCCTGGAGCGCAGGCACAGAGTGTGAGGTCACCAGGTTAGGTGGACAACGGCATGTGCACTAAAGCAGAAATCCCACCAGAGTGGACCCTGTAAACGTGTGTGGCAGCTGCCGTCTATGGTATGGCTACAGAAGGCGTGCCCTGTATGGGAGTACTGCCTGTACCCCACTATCAGCAGCCCTGTTCCTGAAGGTGACACAATGGCTGTGTGATGTGTTGAAACAGCCACTTGTATTCCCTGTTGGAAGTCTATATGATAGTGACAACGCAGGAGCACATTTGGGAGACAGAGACAGAATGTTGTCACCCCATAACAGGGAGTGCCTCAACAAGGGCCTCCATGTGATGATCACCGGGGATTATTTTAAAGCAAGCTGCAGATTTGAGGATATTACAAAATGGCTTTTGAATGACGTGAACACAGTAAAGATTTGGGATTTATGGGGGGCGGGGTAATATCTGCTGTCATTTAACCCCTCGGTTCTCATTGCAGGTCAGCGTTGATCGGTTACGGCACGCCGCCTCACGATTCCTTCTCCGTGTTGGTGATGTGCATCATGGCGGTGGCTCTGGGCACGCCCCTGGTCCTGTTAATCGTGGGCGCCATCGTGGTGACGGCGATGAGGAAAAAGAGAGTCGCCGCCAACTACCAGCCAGTCAACTAGGAGGAGAGGATTACCTCCGCCTCGGACGATTCGCACAAGGACTCAAAACTGACCAATGGCAATAAGGCCGGGCTGGCGGATTGTGGGCGTCGCCGCTCTAGTCTGGCTTATACGGGTTGTTTGCAATGTTGGGGATCTTAACTGGCTTCTTCACCGAGATCGTCGGCCAAAACTTCAAACTTGTCTTTTTACAGGGAGCACGCCGAAGAATAGGAGCGTAAATTTAAAGCCCTGACCCCAGCCCAAATTTTTGTTTGTTAGGATAGAGTTGACCTCTGACCCCAAAACCTTAAATGTATTCCTCACTAACTACAACGAATATAAATCCTGTTTTTGCGCACCAGATGCCTTTTTAAAAACCCAAATATTACCTTGTAAAAGTAGCGTTGACCTCATCACTGTGCTGTACAGAGCAGTGGGAGGGATCCAGCAGGCTCCTCCCACCACAGCCTGCCTGCAGAAAGTACAAGAGGGGGTGGTGACAGGACCAGTCACCCTGCACAAGGACAGAGAGCAGTAGTGATTTGGTCTTTATTACAGGAGGGGGTAGTGACAAGACCAGACACCCTGCACAAGGAGAGAGAGTAACAGTGACCGGTCTTTATTACAGGAGGGGGTGGAGACAAGACCAGTCACCCTGCACAAGGAGAGAGAGTAACAGTGACCGGTCTTTATTACCGGAGGGGGCGGAGACAAGACCAGTCACCCTGCACAAGGAGAGGGCTCACCATCTGGGTTCCCCCGAGATGCGTTGGATGTTTTAGGTTTTCTTCTTAAGAGCAAAAACTATTATTCAAAGATTTTGGGCTCCTAGATCTTTTGGTCTCTCCTCAGATTGGACCCCTAGACAAGGGGCCCCCTGATCACTAGGAACCACCGCACTCCACAGAACTTCCCTCCACCATGGACAACCAATTGGTTGAATTTTCACCCCCCCGAGCTAGCTGCTGATTTGGTCTCTTCTTTCAATGGAAGGAAGTCTAGGTTGGCTGTCACTCATCGATGAGGGAGAGACCAATAGGAAGCGGGAGCTTCATGGGTTGCAGAGTCAGAACCAAAGCAGCCTGATGTTCTTTTTCCTGCTTGAGGGTGCTCCATCCAAACCCAAGCTTCTAGTTTTGGCCGTTCTCCTCCTTCGGTGGCCGTGCCACAAAAAACAGTTTCGGGGTATTTTTGTCACCTCATGGGGGATGGGGGACGCTGGCCAAGTCTTGCCAATTTTTGCCTTTTTTTCAATGTAAACGCGTCATTCCTCGGTGCTTCTTCTCTGGGAACGACCTGAAATTGGGGTAATTTGTGCCTCTGCCTTTAGACCCCGGGGGCGGCAGTCTGAGTTGGTGTGTTTAATGTGCACCTGTCATGGACGGTATCGGCAGTCTATTTCTGGGTTGAAGGATGCAGGCTGCCCGGATTCGGTGCTCTCGCCGTGTCACTACTGAAAGTTGTTTGGGGCCAAACTGGTGCAGCGCCATTGCCACATTTGTTCCAGAACTCCTCATAGCTCCACTTCACCTGGGCCTTTCCCCTTAGACAATACCCCGCCTCTCTTACCCCCCACCACCACCGCATTCCAAAATTAAAAACTAAAACCCAAATTCTCAAGGCCCAGAGTCTTCCCTCTTCTAGATTGCAGAGTAGGAGTCCTTCTATGGGTGGACACAATTTAGTGTCCAGCAAGCAACGTCATCTTCGGCTGTAGAAGACTGTGATGGTGTGGTGACGGCAACGAGACTGCCTGTGGTGGAGCCTAGTAATAAACTGCTTTAGGGTTGTTGTTTTTTTGATGAGGTGGGTGTAAGAGCACCTAATCTTAGAGAGGAAGGGGTTGTATTGGGTTATCCCAGAAGGTTTTAGTGTATTTTGGAAGGGGGTGGCCAGCATGGCTGTCATTCAGAGCATCACTGTAACTGACCCCAGGTTCTTTAATCGCAGTCCATTTATAAAGATGGGTGGAGCTTAGTGTAATTTGGTCTGTTTTCTCAAAGCTCTGCCCCAAAACGGTGTCTACCTCCTTTTTAAAGAACATTTTGTGTTCTAGTACTACTTTTAAGCTGCCTGGAAAACCTTTCTGAACGGTGCAAATTTCAACTCCTAATAGTTGTTTAAAGCGCAGACCTCTATTTGACACTGTAGTAACTCAAACTAGCCACAAGGTGGCAGCAAAGCACCACCGAGATAAAGGTTGCGTTTCACTGGCCATCATTTACGTAGAATGGTGATCTGCTGCCATCTGGTGGCTTATTTTAGGTACTGCACCTCATGTTAATTCTCGGTTGCTGCCATTGTACTGCTGACTCTCTGCTAAGTGGCCATTTATTCCTCAGCAAAGAACAGTTTTTGGATACTCTTCTTCCTCTTCTTCTTCTTTTTTTTTTTTTTTTTTTTAAACAAGCAAAACAACAAAAAAAAAAAAAATCACATTTTACTCCCCTTTTTTTTGGTGAAGGGCAAGCTACAAGGCACTAAAATTAGGTCTAGATCTACTTTTTTCGTATGGGCTCTTAAAGTATCCATCACGCCTAACAGGAAGAATTATTAACCCATGAGGCAGCTTGTTGTCATAATGGATAACCAAAGACTAACCTGGGTGTCAATGATCAGAATTAGTATCATGTAGGGCTGTAGTGGATACTTAAAGAGCCTGTACAGATGTATAAAAAACAAGATGGGGAGCAAATAGTGTTCCCGGTACTTATGAGGCCTTAAAGTGTCAGGTTTGTCGGAAAGTTATCCCTGTTACCTATTACCTATGAACCAAACAGATGGTGGCGTGGAGGTTGGTACGCACCTTTCGAAGTAATTGTTTTGAAGTTTTTTTTTAATTTTGGGATTTTTGGGGGGGCGTTTTTTTTTTTGTCAGCGTGTATTCTGATATTCACGATCTGTGGAGGTTTACGGGTCTCGTGCAAGGTATACTGGTGTACCCAATCCATGGCCAGTTACTTCTTAAAGGGACCATACCAACTTTTTCCACCTTTTGTCACCAACTGCTCCAGAGATACCCCTGGGGCAAGCGCGGTAGAGCTGAAGTTTGATGGGGGAGGGGGATATTTTTCTTTACTTGGGCCAAGTGTGACTTATTACATTGACTCTCCGCGGTCACTGCGTGGTGGATGGACGGAGGAAGACGACTCATGTTTGAACAGGAAGCAGTTTTTAAGGGACATTTCCATCCAAAACTTATATTTCTCCAGAATATAAATGGGAATCCATCAGGGAGGGGGGGAGCTCATAATGAGCACAGCAGGGGCCTGAGAACTCTGTGACAGGAAGTTTCACCCAGCAAACCCTGAAATCTCAGTTTTTTTTGGG